TTGTTAAATCTTCATTTAAGGTATTTGTAGATTTTAAGCTGCACACATTGTGAATAATGTTCTGCTGTTCATGCAACAACACAAAAAAGAATTTAGGCTACAGGAGGCAAACAAAAGTAGCTTACTTGTACTTTTAAGTTTAGCTAACGGTACCATGAGAATGTAGACCTACCAGGTAGGTTATGGTCACTGAAAATGCATGAATTTTAACCCCTCCAGAAAAAAAAAACTTAACTGTGTATAGTGCAACTAGTCACTGAAAATGCATGATTTTTAACCTCTTAAAAAGAAAATATCTGCGTAGAATTGTGACACCCTATTTGGTATTTAATTTCCTTCGTGGTAGTCCCCTTGTGTAGCACACATTTTATCAGTGTTGTTTCCATTAATATAACCATTCCTGGAAATCCTTCTTTTTTTTTTTTTTTAGGATAGCGAGCAGCTGCCTTTTCACATTCTCTTGGATTACCTCAACATTGGGGAAATCTTGTTCCTTTCAAATAGGATTTGAATTTTGAAGAGAAAAAAGTTGCATGGGGTGAGATCTGAGGAATATGGAGGTTGTCAGACATGGGCCAAGTAGTTTTTGGCCAAAAACTGTTGCACAAGCCACTGATGGAACCTCTGTGGTGTGATGAGATGACCACACTCTACACACTTGCTTTCCAATAAACAACAGAAACCTGCAAGAAATATATAACTTAGTGTGTATATGCAACAGAGTTCAAGATCAATCTCTGATAAGTGACTTTACTCTGCATACTTTAGTTCTGTTACCATAACAACACTCTCAATACTTTTTGACTAGACTTTGTATTTCTAGGCCATTGGTCAAAGATTAGTGGATGTGCAGGTGGTGTAATGGATAGTGGCTTGGAATAAGAAATTGGAGAGCTGAGTTCGAATTTGACTTGGGTTCATTATATTCACTTATGTTCAAATACTCTTGGGAAAGGTATCAATCCATATCTTCTCCCTCCGGGGTTTAACTAGAAGGACTTGCATCTGGAGGAAAATCAATGTTATTCTGAAATGTTCATTTGCAAGAAAAAAAAGAATTGGTTTTATAATCCAAAATATATTTCAGCTTTAAATAATCCACAAAGGGTTGATAAACTATTTAAAACAAACAAATCAAAGATTATATTTGATAGTTAAAAAAAAAAATAACTGAATAAAATTTAACATTTTTACTTGTAAAAGTATCTGGAATAGTTTTCTGGCAAAGTTCAACAAATGTACTTTTCTTTACTTTTTTTTTTTTTTTTTTTTATAATCATTTGACCCCAAGCAAGGTGGGAATGCCACTAGTATGCAGGGGCTTACAGGGAGTGAAAGTGTGAGAGGAGACAGAGTATAGGGAGGATTGAGGAAAGAACATAAGATGAACAGGATTCAAAAAGACATAAGATGGTGTTACATTTAAATCTTTGAAGCTTGTATTTATTGGGGAAGCAAGTAAACAGAAGGGAGTTCCACAGGTAGGAAATGCGAAAAAAGAAACTGTTGGACTAGAAGTGGCACTTGCATTTGGCTATTTCAACAGTAAAAAGGTGAGAACTGCCAAAAAATGGTGTATCAATTGATTGCTTTTTTGCCTCTTGAAACTGCTTTTACCATAGCAATTTTATTGTTTTAAAAAGTTATTTCTAGAATATTAATAAAACCCAAATGTAAGAAACTGGATTTATTAATTTTCTTTTGTGTCAAGAATTGACAACAAAAGTAAAAGGGGGTTCATTAAGACGGATTATATATAAGGGTGTTTCATTAAGATGGATCAGTCAGCAGTAAATAAATCCGTGTTATTGGTGAAAAATTATTTATTTCTCTATTGGATCATGTTATTTAAGTCATGGCAATTATGTGTGAAAAATGATATCGCCCAAATGTCCACCAAATCTGAAAGAAAAAGAAAGAAATCATTAGACGCTTAAACTTAATTCACATTTAAAATTGGTTCAAGTAATTGGAACAGCCTTTATCAAAAGCTATTGTTTATTTGATAAAATAATTTTATATTTACAACTTTATAAAAGTATGTTATACATTATGAAATGGACAAAGTCTGACAATTTAAGACATTTTTTTTATAAACATAAAAATGTCTTAAAATAATTGTCGGACTTTGTCCATTTCATAATGTGTGACGTCATTTGTTTACATTTGGATATGCATTGAGCAGATATGAATGAATGAGAGAAAATCATGGAGAATTGTATTTAAAAACAGTAAAATCGACCTTGATAACCGAACACTCCTCTGTGGCTCAATCGGTTAAGGCACATCAGGCTATATGATGGGTCCGTGTAGGATACAGGTTCAATTCCTGTTAGAGGACACATATTTTCTATGAAGATTTCTCAAACATTCAGGCCAGTAAATGTTGTTTAATACTGTTTATTATAAACAGAGCATTTACTTAAATATTTATATCTATAAAAAGAATGTATAAACATAAAAAATGTCCTAAAAAAGTATGTTAACGAACTATAATGCCATAATTATTATTTATTGTATTGTAAAGAAATAAATCTGAAAACAATTTTTTTAATCATAAATTTATAAAAATATCTGTAAATAGGAGAATAATAAATTTAAATGGTCACATAATGACAAAGAGTAGCCGTAAAAATTTTGAAAAAAAAAAAAAACTTTGAGGGCTTTTCATTTTCTCTCACCAAATAAATTCACTAAAATCATTTGCGAGCAACTGGATTTATATTTTTTTTTTTTCTTGAGAACTGACAATATAAATGTCAAACACTATTTATTTACAAGAATTTATTACTATTTATTTACAAGAATTTATTACTATTTATTTACAAGAATTTATTACTATTTATTTACAAGAATAGTGTTTAATACTTTTGTCATCAATTCTTGAGGAAAAGAAGAAAAGAAACTGCATCAATGATATGATCATATAATTTAAATTCGAAAAATAGCTATTTCAAACAATAACAATTGTTGAAGGATGATACTGTAATACCAATGTCAAGAGAAAAACTATCCTTTTGACATACCATTTTTTTTTTTTTTTTTTTTTTTTTTGAAGGGTACATATGTTGAACTTTGCCTATTCTCTTCTCTAACCTTTCAAAAATTATCTCGATAGCAAAACAAAAAACACTTCTGATGAGATGTGATATAAACATGATAAAAACAGTTCAGTCAGTTGTGTGCCATGCATGATATACACTTAGGCAATCATGTATCTTTTGATACATGACTGAAAGGCAGATTTTTTTTTCCTCACAGGAAGTTGCTATTTCTTTCTGTAGTAGACCAGTTGCCATCCAATGCTCTAGAACCCAGTTTGTCCTATTTACCCATAGCTGAAGGCAGAAGAGGAGTCATGCCTTTCCCAAGGGTATTAGCACGTAAGTGAATGTAATTGATTTGACTGGAATTCAAACTTGACTCCCCAATTCCTCAATCCGAGCTACTATCTATTACTCCACCATGCCTCCAAGAAACAGTTATAATCTTGATATAATGGAATATGCATACACCTGCATTCCCCCTCACTGGAATATGATTGGCTGGTGTCCATCATAAATATCGACGGACATGTAGGAGAGTCAGAAGAAGGCTACGTCAGAGTCTAAGTCTATAACGATTGATCTACACTTCTTACCTGCGACTACGATGCGTACCAGTCGATTACTGCTACCGTATTCTATTTGGTTATAGTAGTCAAAACCACTTAGCTACTTCGTTCAAATATATCCCTTTCCGGGACATATCAATCTCTTAAATCCTTTGTTAAAAGAATGTGAGTTCTATCAAAATTTGTCAAAAATGTCTTGCAGTTAAAAGTATAGATATTTATAAAGCTTAGGTTAGTCTGCTATAAAGTTAAATTTATGTACTGTCAATGATCTGTGAGAACAACTTGCTCAGCATATCTTTATAATAGTTAAATATTTGTTTTGGGTATCTGTCATCTGGCGAAATATTGAATAACACTGGATTGAACTAACAGCTTGCTAGATGTGCTTAGTAACCTTTGCTCTCTGGCAGGCATTTATGCAATTGTTTAAAATTGTCTATATTTATAGAGGATGAGTATTTCAGAGACAGAGCATATGTAGATATAGACAGTATGGATATAGAAATCAACACTGCATGGTGACTGGCAGTTTCATGCCTTAAGCAATCATTGTAATGGTCTAGTGGTTGCTTAATGTGTGAAACTGCCAGTCACCATGCAATATTAATTTCTATGTTGACATGGGCTTATCACATTGAAACATCGGTTCTTATTTAATCATCGAAGTTAAGCAATGTTGAGTCTGGTCAGATGGGTAACTACTTGGGAATACCAGATGATTTAAAATTGGATGTGCCTCTGGTATAATGTGTAACAGCACAGAATAAGAAATCAGAAAGTTGAGTTTGAATTACAGTCAGCTTTGTTATATTCAGTTATGTGCAAATACCCTTGGGAAATGTATGAATCCACCTCTCCTTCCCATCTATGGCTTAAATAAACTTGTATTTGAGATACCTTATCTCCCAAAAAAATAAATACAATATTCACTTGCAAAAAGAAATTAAAAAAAAAATTATTTTAACAATTCAAAAATGTTTCAGCTTTAACTTAAAAAAGGTTGATAAATTGTAAAAAACAAAGCAATCTATTTCCACATATACATGTGTGTGCATGTGTCGGTAATTGAATAACAAAATGGAAAAAATTCTATATTATATGCTTTGTCCTTTTTGAAAGGTTGAGTGATTTGTTTTTTACAGCTTATTTTGAAGCTTATTTAAAGCCAGAAAATATTTTTAAATTGTAAGAACTTTTTGGGATAGATAATGATTTACTGATACAAATTTTACTAAATAACCTATAGCTAGGGGATAAGTAGATTCATATCTTTCACAATGGTATTTGCGTATAAGTGAATCTAACAAACCCAAATGGAATTTGAACTCAGCTCTCCAATTTCTCATTCCAAGCCTTTATCCATTATACCACGTGCATATTCAAGCTTACAGCACTTGGTATTCCCAAACAGTCACCCATCTAAGTATTGACCATGTTTAACTTTGCTTAACTTCAGTGATCGTACAAGAACTGGTGTTTCAGTGTGATATAGCCTTAAGCTTTTTTGAAAGGACTTCTTCAGACTAACCAATGTTCTTATTGGTAGAATCTTATTCATGTGGATGGAGATAAAATAGTATGTTGGCCCAAAGATTTGTTTGGTTGATTAAGTAAATGTTCTACTTAAGCAAACCAGTTTTTTGCCCAACCCAATACAAAAAATAAAATGGCAGTTACAATTCTATATGAAGAATTGTCAAAGATTAGATTGTTGGATTACAATGTATTGAAATGTCGGCATTCGGTTTCAAACAGTATTTCGCCTTTCCTAACAAAACCAAGGCTCTTACAATGTGGGATATTTAAAAACAAAAGCGGCAGAAAGCTGACTGATGATACATGGTGCACTCTAGATACATTGAGTGCGAAGAATTAAAGTCAAGTGGTGTCCCTGTATCTTTAGCATTCCTTGATGTAAAACATTGGTCTGACTGAAGAAGGCCTTTCAAAGCACATTAATGTGTAACATAGAGATTTTTCCATTCTGTCATTCAGTTACCTACTATTGCTTTGATATATAGTTATATATGTCTGATATATACATACATGTGTAAAAAGAAATTTCAGATAGTGTATCTGTAAAAGGACGATGTAAATAAAGACAAAAGAAAAACTTAGCCAACACATTCCGCACTCTGTTGGACTTTATCAAGATAAATGCAATGCTTTGATAAAGTTCTTCAGTCACTGGCATGTTTGTCTAAAAACAAATATGTCTAAATTCACCTTCATCCCTGCTGTGCCCCAGTGGCTTATGGGTAGAATCTTCGACTGATACCAAACCAGTTGGGTTTTGATCCCAGCTTGAGGCAATCAGATGTTTAGCCACACTGATGAGCTGTGAAAGAGCCTGTCTGTGGATGATAATATATATATATATATATATATATATATATATATTATTATGCAATTAAATTAAAGACATTAGTTCCATTTCATCCTCAAGCGAATTTTGGAGTTTGAGGATGAAATGGAACTAATGTCTTTAATTTAATTGCAAAATTAAATTTGTGGCTTTTAGCTTCCATTTTTGAAACATGGTTAGAACTGTGTAGCGGGAAAAAAATCATATTTTAAGTCAATTAATTTATAATATTAATGCTCTGTAAATTTACATTGAGCACTATTTTGTAAAAATAAAATATCTATAAGAACACTGGATTATATATCTTACTGTTCTTTTCATTTTATTTAAATATATATATATATATATATATATATATATATATATATTTATATATATATATATATATATATATATATATATTTGACACTACAATTTTGTAATAGCCAGCAAGGATTGAACACTCTTCACTAGCAATGTAGATGAATGAGCTTGTTAGCTGTTGCATTAGTGAAAATGTATTCAAAGCAATATGTCAAGTTTACAGTGGCTTGATGCTATTATTAACATTTAAAATTTCTATTTATTCTTGTACCCCACCTCAAAAAAAAATTTTTTTTTTATCTAAATTTTATCAAAATGTGTTAATGGTTTGTTTTTTTTCCCCTTCTTCTTGGCTAAAGAAAAGAAAGAATAATCAATTGTATTGATAACTGAATTTATATAAACTTGATTATTGACTGCTAGCTGTTGCTACTGCTATTGCAACCACCGTCACTGCCACTGCTGCCGCCACCGCCACTGCTGCTGTTGCTACACCTCTTGTTGCTGCTTCCTAATCTCAAATGTCTTTTTTACGATTTCAGATTTTTGAATTCTCCCCAACAACTCCTCTTCTCTCTCCTTGTCCTTCATCCCACTTCTTCCCTCGTACCTTTCTCCCCTCTGTCTGTCTACCCCCCTTCTCTCTCTGTCTACCCCCCCTCTCTCTCTGTCTGTCTACCCCCTTCTCTCTCTGTCTGTCTACCCCCCTTCTCTCTCTGTCTGTCTACCCCCCTTCTCTCTCTCTGTCTGTCTACCCCCTTCTCTCTCTGTCTGTCTACCCCCCCTCTCTCTCTGTCTGTCTACCCCCTTCTCTCTCTGTCTGTCTACCCCCTTCTCTCTGTCTGTCTACACCCTTCTCTCTCTGTCTGTCTACACCCTTCTCTCTCTCTGTCTACACCCTTCTCTCTCTCTCTGTCTACCCTCTCTTCCCCCTCTGTCTACCCTTTATCTCTCCCCCTCCCTGTCCCCTCTCTCTGTCTTCCCCTCTCTTTCCTCAGCTCTCTACACTTCTTCTCCCCTCCCTTCTATTTCTTTACTCCCCTTTTCCTAACTTGTTTCTTCTATTTCCTCTATACATTCATATTCAGTACACTTGTTATATATATATATATATATATATTTATACACATATAAAATTTACTTGCAAAAATAGATGATATTTGTTTCCTCTTCATTTTCCAAAAGCCTTGATCCTCTTTTAAAATACATAAAATTCTAATTTCAACTTTTATAATAATGTTTTACAAATATGATCCCTTCGCCTCTCTCATCTATACAAAAGAGAGAGACATTCCTAAGGAGTTATGTCTAAATTTTGCTTCAGTGTTCCTGGAATATTTTCTGTTTAATTTTCTATTAAATATTGTCTTTTTAATTTTCTCAAATAATTCATATGTAATTCTCTCATGCTTTAATCTGCCACAGAAGATAGCTTAAAGCAAAAAAAAAAATGTCAAGAAAATATCACATGATACAAAATAATTGGTAAGACCTGTTAGCAGCCATAGTGGTCAAGCTGAGATGTCATTGCTGCATGACATAGCAAGCTTCTTTGGTAGGGATATGATTTCGAGTTTTATTCAAAGCTGCTACACTTTTTTTCTAAATTCTCGGAATTGTTTACATGTTAGCATGGCACCCACTGGTTCTCCATTTTAGGAGCAGGAACCAGTCTCTTATATTTCCAGAATGGCCATTAACTGTATGAGCACTTCCAGAAGAACCAGATAGTGCCACTGAGCCGATACATATATAAGACAGAACTCCCTGAATTCAAAAAAAAAAGCAGGGCCAGAAGAAAATCTAGTGTATGCATCAACATTTGTTTCATTATAGACGACTGACAATGCATTACAATTAAACTTTTTATTTAATTTTTCTTGTGTTCATATAAGTGTTTTCTATTTTTGTACATAAAGTGTGTAAAATCTGTCCAAATGTTCTTTATATCTGAGCACTTTCAGTTATACTATTAGCCATTATCAAAGTTTTTGTTTTTTTTCTTTTTTTAATGGGGCCGTCACTCGGGTGACTGTGGAGAGAAATGCACATCAAACAATCAAGGCAAAGAATGGTTTTATTTTCGCGTCGGCTGAGCCAAATATATGAAAGGAGGCAAATAAACGTATCGTTCACTCACATACACATACAGTGATAATTGAACATGGGTACACACATGCGTCTGTATGTGTGTATATGTAGAATGTCATGGTTATTTTCTCCTTTCCTATTTGAAAGAGTTCAGTTCGAAATTCCCTGTAGGTTACCGGGATCAACTTACTCATAGAAAATATAACTATAACAATGTGCTGATTGTTTTTGAAAAATCAAGACATTCCCATCACAATAGGAACATATATATGAAAATCTACATATTCAGTTTAAAATAATAAAAAAAAAAATCCTTGATAATAGCTGAAAGTGCTTGGATATATAGAACATTTAGTACACACTTTATGTCCCGAAAAAGAAAACACTTGTACGAACAAGAGAAAAATTAAGCAAAAAGTTTAATTGCAGTATCTTGTCAGTCATCTTTAATGAAACTTGTATAAAAGATGGATTGCTGCCAAAACACACACACAGAGGAGTCAAAATGTAATACAATTTGTTTTATTATATAAGAAATAAGGAAGACAATCAAACATATTGTACATCAAGACATAGCTTTTTGAATTGTATAAGCCATAGAAAATTATTCAATCAATCTATAATCTATCTCTCCTCCCCTCAGCTATGGATTAAATAGCAGGACAGACTGTGCCCATATATTTATTTTGTCATGAGATGTATACATCACAGGTTTACCTCCCTACTTCTCAATATAGTCACCACCTTTCAGAGGCAGTGTTCCACCTATAAATGAGAGCCTGTATCCCAGTTTTGTAAAACTCAGCTGGCTACTGATGTAGCCAATTCCTTACAGCAGTTTTCATTTCTTCATCACCACCACCACCATAACATTTGCCCCTCAGTGCCTCTTTGATTGGACCAAAGAGATGGAATTGTGTGTATGCTAACTCACTGACATTCACAATACATTCTATCAATTGCTTTTTAAAAGATGCTATCTTCTTCCAGGAGCATCTATTGTCTCAGAAGTTTTGCATTCACATAATTAAGAAAGTAAACTTGGATGTGCAGGTGGTGTAATGGACAATGGCTCAGAATTGTTAATTGGAGAGCCAAGTTCCAATTCCTGTTGGGTTCGTTATACTCACTTACTTGCAAATATCCTTGGGAATGGTATCTATCCACCTCTTCTCCCCCAGCTACGGGTTAATTAGTAAGACTTGTATCACTAAACCATTACTATCTCAAAAAAAATTCTTACAATCTAAAAATATGTTCTGGCTTTAATTAAACTACAAAGGGTTGATAAGCTATAGAAAATAAATGAATCAATCAATCTATAATCTCTCTCCTCCCCTCAGATATGGATTAAATAGCAGGACAGACTGGGCCCTATATCTTTATTTGGCAACCAGTCTACCATGGAAAGAAACAGAAGCCTACTGTGGAAAATCTTCTGCCTAGTCAGTCATGAATCGAAAGCTATATGATCATGCAAGCGTGTATCACGTGACACTTGACTGAGTAGAATATAAAATGATTTTTGTTTTTTTAATCCCATTTGGCTTAAAATAGCAGATATGGAGTTTAAATGAATCAATGGCAACTTCTACTAGCCTTAGAGGACAATGTTACTTATCACGTGTTCATTTTCAAAATTAACCTTACACACTAATTTTAAATGCCTCAGTGTTTATTTGGTCCTGAGATTTATACAAGAAAACATTTAAATATCTTCTTTGTAATCAATACACACCAATTCTTTTCTCCTGTTCTTTTTCACACACACACACACAGTTTGTCATAAACATCTCAATTTCATTTTTTTTTTTTTTTTTTGCAATCTACATATGAAACTATTTTCACATATATCCACAGCTATACTTGTTCATTTTCTGTCTAATCTCTTTTCATTATCACTCATTGCACTGCTTGGAGAAAATAACCTCCTTTTGGATATTCCTCCAAAATCTTGCATAAATTTCATCCAGCTCACTAAAGAATCCTTACGATTTATTCCAGATGTTTGTACCAAGTTGGTGTTTTTCATTTTATAAATTACAGAACTTTATTTTCAGTTTAATCTTTCTTTTTTTCTTGACAGCATTCTTTATTTTACAGCCACTTTCTTCATTTTTCATACAAGCTGCTTAGATTGATGGAATGGCTTTCTCCATCTTTTCTGTTGGGATTTGTTTCTGCTTAAAAAAAACAAAAACAAAATCAGATTTGAAATTAAAAGCCAAGAAAAATAAATTTCTGTTCAATCATTGATGAAAATCTATAACTTTTAGTTTTCTGTTAATCAGACAAGAGTTTTGTATAAAGACTTGGTTTTTTTTAATAGGATTTATTTTTACAAGGGAGATAATTCGTATTATTGAATCATGTCCTGGAGGAATAGAAGCTAAAGATGTTAACTGATTTATAAAGGGACATTAAAATTCTTATCACAAATAATAAAATATTAACAAATTGTTTCTTTATTTGAAAAAAGAAAAAAAAAATGAACTGCCAGAAAAATTGAAAATTATGATAAATTTCTCATTTTACATTATTTAGTGAGCTCTTGATATGGGCTAAAACAGTAAAAATCTGAAAATGCAAGGTTCTTTACAAAACTTGATCTAGTGTTCTTGAAAGGCAATCATATTTTTATTGCAGTGCAGTTTTAGGACAACACAGTCAAAGAGTGATGACAAAGGTTTTATCAAAGTTCTGTGATTTTTTTCTTGAGTGATTATCATCCAGAGAAAAATACAAAAAAATGTTAAAAGGCAATACATTCACAATGAAATTTGTGTGTAAAATCTATTAATTGATTGAAGAGGAGTTAGGAGCAAAAAGTATGGAGTGGGGAGATATTTTTTTTATCAGATGTGTAATATCCATAGTGGAATTGTTCCCTAATTTGAAAAGGACACAAGAAAAACAAATGAAACTATAAAGTTGGCTAAACTAGATTGCTGTGAAAGATCAGGAAGAGGAAAAGTTGTGGGCACAAAAACATTTCTTTCTGACTGTTGGATCTAATGAAATTGGGTGACGTTTCATACCCACTGGTGAGTACTTGATTAACATTTGTCCATAACTGACAGTAGCCATATTTATGTGTTTGATGAGTAATAGCAAGGTGATGACAGATTTATTGTTGTTCTTCAGAGACTTTATTTGTAAGACATAATTTAAGAAAATGACATGAGCGTATTTTTTATATTTTTAAATGCTCAGTAATCTTAAAATTGGAAGATATTCTCCACAGTCCAATTTTAGGAATGTTGTCTTAAATTTACTGTAGTCATCACTCTTATTTTCTAATAATGTTATGTATGTCCAACCATACTTTCAAAAATGGGCATGCTTATTTACATAAAATAAATTCAAAATTCTTTTAAAAATCTTGGTGCCTGATAACTGGTATTAAGCTTTACCATTTAAATAAAATAAAGTATAGTTTTCCTTTAATAATAATATAATCTAAATGGCTGAAATTAATACAGAATTTTAAAAAATTTTCTAATTAAAATTTAAAACAAATGAAAACAATTCTTGTAAATATTCATTATCAGTAAAAAAAAAAAAAAATTTTTTTTAAGACAAGTGTCCTTAATATATTGTATTTATAAAAACAAAAGCTTTCCTAATTAAATAATGTCCTAGTTTTATTGCATTTTTATTTTACAATTCAGAGCAGATTTTCAATAAATGGTGTTCCTGCTTGACAAAAAAAAAGAAAAAAATGATTACTAAAATTTTCCAAGGAATCTGACTTTTAACAAATAAAGAGGTCGAAATTTTAATTTCTTAGAATGTCATAAAATTAAGTAAGTGAGGTAACAGATATATATATATATATATATATATATATATATATATATATATTCTAAAAAAAAAAAAATTTAAAAAAAAAAAAAAAATTAAAAATAATTTATTTTTGTGAATAAGTCCTGAAATTTTCATTAAAATTCAAGAATTTCAAAATCAGTGCGTTTTTTACTGGAAAAAAGGGCGCTAGTAATCTTTGTTTAATTACTGACAGATTTTTAACCAAAATTTCAAATCTGCTAGAAAGGATTAATAAATTTAATAAAAAGATACTTTGGTCTTTCCTGTTAATAATAACCATTTTGATGATAAAATTATTTTTTCATCATGCTATGCTGTTTTTTTTTTTTGTTTGTTTTTTTTCAGCAAATTAGTAGACGTACCTATTAAAGAGTTATCTGTACCCTGTTTTATTTTCACAGTTTGAAATTTTACATTTGTAAAATTTCAAACTATGCCCACATTTTTATTTTAAATAATTTTCTGAATATATACATTTATGAATTTATTTAAATTTGAAAATATTATGGTGTGATATCCCAAGATGTTCTTTACTGAACTATGACAGAAAGGTAAAGAAGATGGAGGACAATGTTGTGACCTGAGGAAGGGTCTAATGAATGCTAAACAACAAAAATTATTCCTTTTTTTTTTTTTTTTTTTTTTTTTTTTATAGCAAACTGGTCCATTCATAAAATAAAAATAAAATTTCAACAATAATTTAAAAAGAGTCTTAAATCCACTTGTTCATTTTCTAAGAGTTGTTCAGACTATTTAAATCATTGTTTATCTTACTTTTGTTGATTGTACAATAATTCAGCTGATCCATTCTCCAACTGTTTTCAAGTGTTTCAGTCAAGCCAGTATAGAGTTCAGTGTAAAAAAAAATTTGAGAAATATAATCAGTTGTATGGCTTGATGTAGAATAGTTGTATTTGTTGCTAGAAATTTTTGCTTTATACATTGGACCCCTAAAAGACACTCTAAATAGATTGGTTGCCAAAATGTTGTGGCAATTAAAAAAAAATAAAAGTATCATTCGTTCAGTCAATTCTTAGAACAATGATAATTTTTTTTTAAAAGGTTGTCCTCTTGATAAATGCTGTAGAATAGAGCAGCTGAAATGTTGCAACCACAACAAAGTCAGTATAAAAGTGTTAAGTCATCTGAAGAAAATTTGAAATTATGACATTTTTTTCAAAATTATAAAAGGCATGTTAAATTAATTTCCATATGATAGCAAAAGTTCCTACTTTTCCTTCTCATATTGTCAGTTCCTATTATGGAATCTGAACTTTTAAACATATTTGCCTTCTACATACATACATACATACATACATAGCCATGTTTTTTTGTTGAGGCAGGTTGTGCAGATAGGAGTGGAAGATAATGGTTAACCCTAGCCCTTGAACAGGTTAAGATTGTAGTGATCAGGGAAACATCCTCTTGGGATTCAGTTCCACAGAGCAGTAGTTCATGAGAAGAAGTTCTATGAGTGGAACTTACATTCCCTCTGAATTCCACTGATGAGAAGTTAAGTGGTTTGCTACTATGTAAAGTGACATGGCATGTTCTTGGTATGAAGGTTTGAATTGGCAGGACCAGGGAATGTAGTTCGGCTGAGCACTTTCCATGGTAGCGATAGAGCAGTAAGAGGCTTGCTACATCCCACCTGTGGAAGAGAGGTTGGAGAATAATTCATCACCCCCAAGGGCTCAGAGATGAGTTTAGACTCTATCAAATTTGGAGAGTGAGACCTGAGCAGCTCTCACTCAAATATGACAACATTACAGAACTTGATCTTCATTAAAAGAATCTTTTCAGAATGGGTCAAGTAAAATCCCAGGTGTATGAATTCTTCCCACGCACGAAAAAAAAAAAAAAAAAAAACTATTTGACCAAAATTATGAGTTAGTAATGTTAAAAATAAAATTTACATTTTTTTTTTAATTTTGTTTTTGTTTTTTTGTTTTCCTTTCCTTTTTCTTTATTTGTTGGATTTTGTTTTTCGGGGATTGTTAAACTGCCTGGTGTACTTGTACCTGACTTCCTAACACCTATCTTTACTACAGCACTAGCAATGTAGCACCAACAATTTTAACCTATGGTAAGTCGTTTTGTTATTATTTTCATTATTATTAAACATTTAAATTCATCATCATCCAACTACCCTTCCCTCCAGAAGAGCATTGATCATATGTCGATTCGGTCACGTCCTCCATATTTTCCATTTCATTTTTTTCTGCTGTTTGATCATTTTTTTTTTTTTTTCCTGAACCACTCATTTTGTTCTTCCCAAATTCTGAGGGTTTAACTTTTGTTTATCTTGCAGAGTAAGTCAGACAGTGAAGTGGCGGCACTGAAAGCAAAAATCCACTCATTACAAATTGACTTAGAAAACAGTGAAGCTGTACAGAGAGACTTTGTCAAATTATCACAATCATTACAGGTAAGTTCTTTCAATCATTACAGGTAAGTTCTTTCATCCTTTTGTCAAAACAGAGAGAAGGACTTTCCCTCTTAGTTGACAATCATTCTCATTGTTTTGGTCTCCAAGAGATTTTATATCCAGGAGTATTCCAAGACATCCCAACAGTCAGTCATTTAGTCTGCAGGTGTTGCAGGAAAGGAGTTTACCATTGATCTACCTTCATAGAAAAAAAAAAAAAAAAATCCACTTAGATTATATAGCAATGGATTTATTACCTGTACTATTATTTATATATAATATATATATATATATATATATATATATATATATATATATATACACACACACACACATTTCATGCAATATGACAGACAAGGTGCTTTTAATTTTTATACAATTTCTCATGTGATCTAATAATTTTTTTTTCAGGTGATAACTTATATAAAAACTGTCAATGTTCTTTTTATCCAAGCACTTTCGGCTATACATTTAGCCATTTTCAAGGATTAAAAATTTTGTGATAAAGTGCGAGTGTGTGTAAATATAAATGTGAACATTGAAGTCAACACTGTTTCATGCTAGATGCAATCATCAGGCCACGAGTCTATATATATATATATATATATATATATATATATATATATATTACATGAATCATTCATACAAAAACATTTCGATTCGCATTTAATTTTTCATGTCTATTACCTGGATCTACTAAAAAAAACAAAATAATTTCCATGCCTGAGAATGGCTGAATATACAACTGAAAGTACTAGCAAAATAAAAAAAGACCTTATACAACTTGAAGTTATTAAAAACAAGGATCATAACATCCATTGAGTGGTTCATAGGTTAATGCAACTTTAATAAATTTCTTTGTGAAGGTGTTTTTTGCCATTTATATCATTAACTTTACTAATCTACTTTTTGTATGAATGATTCATTGTAATATAAATTGAACTGCACCACATATTTGATATATATATATATATATATATATATATATAAGGCTTCGTCTTGTTGTTTCAGATCCAGTTGGAAAAGATTAGACAGGCTGAAACAGAAGTACGATGGCAACATGAAGAAGATGTTGATGAATGTAACAACTGCAGGCAAGCTTTCACTGTAACCAGACGAAAAGTAAGTCCAAATCCTCTCCTATTCTTGCCTAATTTGCACATTTGTTTAAAAAAAAAGGAAAAGAATTCTCTTAAAATTAGCTCTAATGGAACTGCTATCAGATTTTTGCTTGTGTGAAAAAGGTTTCCCTGAAATACAAATGACTTGTGTACATGTTGATATGGCAACAAGTTTTGAAGAAGACTGGGACTGTAGAGGTTAAATCCTGCAAGTGAGTCACCTCTCTGAATTTGTTAAATAAAGCCTTGTTATTTAATTTTCGTCTACAGTGGAACCTCGGTTTATAAATTTAATTAATTCCTGAAGGCCGTTTGTGACCCAAAATGTTCATAAACCAAAACTGTCTACCCTTTATGAATCAATGTAAGATTGATTAATCCATTCCTGGACACCAGATGATTGCTTATTTAAACTTTTACAACAGGACTTTGTGCACAAGTTCATACAATGTTCACTAATGAAAATCATTAAATCTAATACGAAAAAAAGATGAACAAAGCTAAACGGATAAAATATAGACAAAAGCTTAATTTAATTTTGCCATACCTGTATGGAAGAGAGAGTTGATGGTGTAAGTAGAAGCTGGTGAGGTAGGGAAAAGGGAGAGAGAGGTTATTGTTTAGAAGGGGAGTGCCTTTTCATAAGCCTTTCTGGGGTTTCTTCTCTTTCTCTTTTTTGTTGTTTGCTAACACTTAACTCTGCTCAAAACACACTCAACCTCTGTCTCGCAAAAACACGCTCGACCTCTGTCTCACTAAAAAAAAAAAAAATTGTCCAGTGAGATTTGTTTTTGTATACATTTTAAAATGTTTATTTAATAGAAAGGTGTTTATTTAATAATCTATATAAAAAAAAAAAAAAAAACCGCATGTACACAAAAGAAGTTGAGAGACTGCAGAATTCAAGTAGGGATGTGTATAGAGGTAAAGTTACACTGAAATTGATAATTTCTTGCCGATATTCCTGATTTGTTGCCCACATCAGCTGTGGTTGGCATGTTCATCACTCAAGGTAGCATCTATGATCTGAGATGTTTTTTATTTGTGTTGTATCCTAGGGAAGGTTACTGAATAGAATAATCACACGAAGGTTGGTAATGAACGATAATACTTAGGACAAGAATAACACATATAAGATTCACCAGTGGCGTGTAGAAGTATTTATGTGAATGGAGACATTGTCTGTAGGTATGCTACAACAGTTTGTGAAATGATTTGTTTGTGATGAGAGGCATTTGTGTACCAAGGTTCCGCTGTACTTTCATCTTTGCCAAAGATGAAAGTTTCATTTAATACCTTCTGCATAGGTTCAGCACTGCTTTACCCAACTTTAAGGATCAAAGTGCAATATCTTTTCTTCTCTCTCTCATGCTTCTGTCTTCAAACAGTTCAAACTTTGAAGAATGGCTGGTACCAGGGATTCCAACCCTGCAGCAGCACCTCCCTCATTGCATTAAGAGTGTTGGTAGATAACAATATCCATGTGGCAGTGGTTGTGAGTAAATAGGCAATTTTTGTTCTTAGTTCATATGTATGCATATATGGGCATACTCATATTGAAAATAACTTTGTGTCAAATCATGCCACTCTGGGAAAGTGAGTAAATACAGATTCAGAGCACCATTAACTAGTCTTTGGATTGGAAACAAGGTGTAGTATCTGTTTGCTCTTCTTCTTAAAATTATAATGGTCCTGGTGATTCCAATCCAGCAATAGCACCTTCCTCATTGCACTAAACAGGGAGGTGGGATAGATCCCAGCATCCACATGATTGTAGATTTAGAGAATGGGCAATTTTTCTCCTGGGGAAGATCAGTATAGTAGTTGTGCACTCCATGAAAATTGTTGAACTCTCTCTCTTCATAAAAATAAAAAAGAATAAACATGTAAAATTATACATAGTATTAATAATAATAATAAAAGAAATGACAAGAGAAAAATTTTTATGCCAACATTTCGTTCTTTGAGGAACAACAAAGATGAAGACAGTGATTGAAAATAAATTTTAGGAAACTTTTTTCCTTGCCAGTGGATGGAGATCAAGTGACAGTAAGTCTCTTCAGTGCTTGGTTCCTATTCAGAATTTCTTATTTCTTATTTTGTAATAAATTCTACTAATATACTATAAATCTGGTGTACGAGTCAAGACCTCAAGATTTTAGCTTTCTGAGTTAGGCCTGTACTTACTGTATAGATCAGGCATCCCACCCACAAACACACAGTAGGCTACTAGTGGCCCAAAACTTTGGCCTACTGGTAAATGAAGTTAGGTTACACTATACCAAAACAACATAAGGTCACACCACTTACCTGTATATTGAGACACTAACAGTAATATCTTTCTACAGGATGCAATGAGTAAATTATCACCATTTTATATTTTTAATTTCATGCATACACAGTGTTTGTTTTTGATTTTGTTGACTGCACAGTATAGGACAGTTAGTGTGAAAAAAAGAGCACCATGATGCAATTCACTCCACTAGAAATTTGGTAACAGCATGCTGTAATGCTTGGCATTCATGCCGGAATCCCCAGAATGTTTGATTGACAATCTGAGGACAGTGCACAGGATTTGGAAAGAGTTGGATGAGTCTAATGGTGATTACAAAGATACAGCAGCTCGGAAAACTCATTCTGATGAGAAAAGAACTCCTAGATATGTTGGTGAGGGCCTCAGACTTAACATGGAGGTCTACATCAAGTGCCTTGAAGAGGTAGTGCTGCCCTAGGTCAAGAGGGTGATTCTAGAAGACCCTATGTCTGGCAACATGACTCTGCACTATACCACACAAACAGGAGAACTCAGTCATGGCTGTCAGACAATTTCTGCAACCATATCACCCCTTAATTCTGGTCACCTAACTCCCCAGACTGCAATCTCCTTGATTATTATGTGTGGGGTACAGTTTAGCAAAAGACAAACAAAACTCCTTGTAACAGCAGAGATGAACTCAAGGCAAGGAATATAGCAGCATTCACCAACTTAAACAAAGAGACAGTCCAGATCAGTTGCAGGAGATTCTGAAGTTGTCTGGAGGCCATGGTTGGTCCTGTGGCTTTTTTTTTTTTTTTTTAATAAATTTACTCTTTAGCATTTCAAGATATTTTTGTGTAATTTTTGGAAAATCTATCTGGTTAAAATGAGATGTCAGTATTATTTTCATTTTTGCATTTAGACAACAATTTATTCCATGGAAGCTATATAATGCTGAAATGGCATGTATGTGCATCTGGTACCTCTTACATTGGATGTAATTTGTACCAGTTTTGCTTTTAGCACATACAATTCTAGCCAGATCACTTTGGTCATGATCATTAAGGACCTGTGGGCAGCCATTGTATTATCAACAGTGGGTGTTAATATTCTCCATCAGGTATTACCATTATACCTGTGACACTGTAAACTGAAGGATATCAAATGTCCCCACAATTTCAGAAATGGAATGTCCTATCCATTTGACACCCATGGCCATACCCCATTCAAATTCCAGTAATTCATATTACTTTGCCATGAGCTGGTCAAGTAAACCTTAACACACAGTGAGCAAAGCCCTGTCTGTACAGATGGTCTTCTGGTAGATGCTTTTAAGACAAGATAAGCCCTGGGAGTCACTAGTAAAAATAGCCTCTAGCACATAGCAAGCTAGCCAGACTTGTCATAACAACCATTAGCTTTCTTTTTCAAGGTCAGGGAGAAGGTGTGCAATGCATTTCTACATTTTGTTAGCATGTTCTCTCTCTAGTGAATAAAAAACTTCATTTATGTTCTTCTGAACTTCTCCCTAGCTGTTTTTTTATTATACATGTTTGGGTAAATATCTCTACCGACACTACAGTTACTATCAAGGTTACTCACATATATTTGCTACTCCATGACTTTTGGTACAGCATTCTAGTCTAATATACTATATTGTATACTCTTTTTTTATCATTTTTATAATAATTGAGATTTCTACTTATTATGCACTAGCAGAAATTATATATTTTAATTCTGATACAATATACTCTATTACAGATGTGCTCAACCAGGGGGGAATCCTCCCCACCCACTTCTCTAAAGAGACATTTCAGTGTTTTGGGATGGTGGAAGCTTTACTTTTTTTGATTTTAATTTACAGAATTTTGTCTATTGAATTATAATACCCTGACATTCTATTGAAATTGTTTACTGAAGTCTGCTTCAGTTTTATTTATTTAATAAATTAGTTGCGAATTAAAACAAATTACTGCACATGTATTCAAGTTTAAAAAACCAACATTTTCTATTGCTATTAAATTTGTAAAACTTCTCTATAAAAAATAATCCCTTGTATATGTACTAATATGGAAAAGAATGAAGATTTTTCAATAATGTATATTATTTGGAATCCACCTTTTGAGTTGGACAATCTTGGAAATGGGAAGTAGGGATGACATTCTGAATTAATGAAAAGAATGCATTGGACAAAAAAGGTAGAGAACCACTGGACTTTATTATATGCTCTTTAATATTTTTTGTCTAATAATAATGACTTGTATGTAGCAAAGATGTTAATGTTGTTTTCTTTTTCTTTTCTTCTTTTGTAGCACCATTGCCGACATTGTGGCAAAATCTTTTGTGCTGACTGTAATTCAAAGAACGTTTTAAGTGGTCCAAACATGCGATCATCCAAAGTCTGTGATGTATGCCACACCATCTTGGTGAAGGATGCCACGCCCTACTTTAGCACAGAGCCCCCTTCTACACCCCATTAGCGAAACCTCTGTGTTTGGTTTGATTTTGTTTTGTAGCTGATTTTGGGGGGTGGGGCATAGTGACTGGGTCAGACAGGGGCACAGTTTGTAGCTGGGCCAGGGTGGAGGAGGTCTTGATTGTGAAAGACATTATGTATGTATTGGGGGTAGGGGGCAATAAGTCCCTTCTAGGAGGGCAAATGTTTATTTTTTATTTTGAGTATGTGTGAAAATCAGAAAGTGATCCAATGAATTTCAAGTTGTAGGAATAAAAAAAAAAAATGATTCTTTGAAATTTTCATGGAAAATTTTTCTGAGTTTTGTGTGTGTGTTTGTGTGGTATAAAACAATTTGGTAAATTGTAATTTTTGACATGTTTAGATTGAATCTGTTATCAGAAAAGAAATTTAATTTCAATTTTTTTTTTAAAACTGATTGATCAGCAGAACATGTCGAAATTTTCCAAATTGTTTTATATATTTACAATTCTGTCGGATTCTCATCCAAACTTTACCATATATATATATATATATATATATATATATATATATATATATATATATATATAGTGTGTATTTGTGTTTGACAAAATGGTATCAGATGACTGTGCCAAGTTCTGGAGAATGTTTTTTATAGTGTTTATAAAAGTGTCTGTCTTGTAAATTTATTTTATTCCCCTTGCCAAAAAACATGAAAGAAAGCAAATAGAATGGAGGAGGAGGGGCGGGAGTAAAAATTAACTTTATTTTAAAGAATGAAAATAAAAAAGAAAAAAAAAACAACTTTTGAACAATGAATGTAAGAGGCAGAAAAAGAAATTCTATTCATCTTGAATCTAATGAATTTATTTAATCTTTTTTATTCAGCTCCCCCCAGCCATCTTTAGTTTCAAAAATTAAAACATTGGTCTTGTTTACTAGATATATTCAGTCATTTTAGTATAACTAAGACGCTTCTCTATATAAGATTACCTACATTAGCTGAAATGTGTGTGTGTGTGTGTGTGTAATATATATAAGCAATTAATGGGTTTTTAATCCAACAATATTCATTATTACTTTAAAATTTTATTTTAGTGGGTGCATATGTTTGAGTAAACTGTTTTTGTTTTTTTTTTTTTTTTTCATCTAGAGTGAAATTAATGTCTACCATCATGGAGCATCAAAAGTTTTCTTAGAAAAAAAAAAAAATGTATCTCTTGGCAAGGATCAAACCTGCCTTAGACAAGAAAAGTCCTGATGATAGATGTACATTTATTAAGAAGAGTAATTAAGCTTTCCCTTACTGTAAGGACCACCATAGCCTGACATTAAGGCATACCTAGTGGTTTTCCACAGAAAAAAAAAGAAAGGAAATGTAGGTTTGATCACTGTCAAAACATTCATCTTTCTTTTTTTTTTCTTTTTTTTTAACAATCTAAGCCAGTAGTCATTAATTTCACTGTTTGTAAATAGACAGGAATGTCTACTCAAATATGTGTACCAACTGAAATAGTGTGTATAGTAATAATGATAGACGGAAGCTGCTATGCAAAAGTATGGAGAATTTGACCATGACAAAAAAGATTGCCACAGATAAATGCAAAGTTGACTTAGTGGTTAATAACATGCAAAGTGGAATGGGCAAACTGAGTTAAAAATAAAAGACCCTTTATTACAAAGGGTTGTAGTGAAAGTCTGTACTATATACTGTTTGTGTACACTTTTTTTCCTAAATATTTGGTTAGCACCTTGTGTGTACGTATCTGTGTGTGTGTGTATATATATATATATATATATATATATATATATATATATATATGCATGCACGTGTGTGTGTGTGTGTTTGTATCGGGTTATGTAAGAATCTTTTTTTTTTTTTATTAAAGATGATTAAATATTGCCCTTTTGACACTTCAACCAGATAGGGTCATCAGTCTATAAAAAAAACTAAAAAAAACCCAAAAAACAATGAAATGTGAATAAAGACAAAAATATATTTAAAAAAAATGACTATGAAGAACTTTTTAATTAAAATAATCAGAACAGAAATTTTTAAAAAAAAAATTTCCATTTGTTTTTCTCAAGCAGCTTTCATTTTTGGTGAATTCACTTTAGATTTTGCTCAACCTTTTCTGTAAAAACTTTTTTTTTTCCTTTCCTTGGTTTATTTTGTCAAAAATATCTATGTAGTTTTCATTTTTTCATCATATGCTATCTGTAAACTATCTTAAACCGGTTTGCAAACTCATCTTTGATCGGTATATATGTAAATGTCTGAACTTCTGTACAGTAGCCTCGACCTTTTAGTATCTCAAAGGTGACTTGTTCAAACTCATCTTTTCTGATCTGAGCAACTGTATGGATCCTGACATTTAAATGTTACCATATTGCACAAAAAAAAGTACTTTTTATAATAATTTTGATATTTTTGGACTTTGACAGTTACCTTCTCCATTGGAAGCCAATGTTGGAATATAACATATGACAAATTGGGCCTTTTTCTATAATGATTAATAATAAGTTTTTCAAAATCGTTATACAGTATTTTGCTGAGTTTGATGTGATAGAGAACCTTGTCTTCTGATCGCATTCATCATTATTTTTAGGACTGCAAAGAGAGAAAAGTTTTTCCAATTGTTGAAATGAAGCATTGTCATGATTCGTTTCTTTGTTGCTTGCTTATGCCAAGTAGTAGTAGTAATAGTCTGAATACCCATGCTAGGGGGCCCACTCTGCCCTGTTATTTAATCCAAAACTGCAGGGAGAATATATGGATTCATGCCTTCCCTAAAAGCATAAATATGAAGTAAACACAACAGACTTGACTCAAATTTGAACTCGGCATGCCAATTCCACTTTTAGAACGATAGCTAATATGTTACCTATGCACATATACTTATATACATATAGACATATAACCCATTATACCTTCGAAAGTTGATAGATTTCGGCAAACATGGACTTTCGTGCCCACAATAAGACATAGTATCAAAAGGACTGTTTTTCCCTTGCCACCACTATTATTTTAACTACCTTCACTCCTCAGCAATATTTATTGTTTTAAAAGGCAATGATTAGAATTGTGATAAAACCTAAACATACGATGAAAGTGAATTTATACATTTTTTTGTTTTCTTGAAAGTTTACTACAAAAATATCAAACATTATTTTTACTTATTAGATTGTTTGTTTATAAGAATAATTTTCTATTTACAACATTCTAAAAACTAAATTAAAACTAATGCAATGCAATATTTATCATTTACCAATTTATAAAGAAATGTGAAAAACCATTTTTTATTCATAAATATATAATCATTTACTAAATTATTAAAATATGTGAACCAATGATAAGGAAATCTTTATTATTTACCATTTTATAAAGTTTGAATCAATTGGCAACTAGCCACTATTTTGCCAACCATTGCAATAAATAATACAATAAATAAATATTGTATGCAATCTAATAAATAAATGAATACTGTTTATTATTTTTGTTGTCAATTTTCAACAACAAAGAAAACGTACAAATTCACTTCTAATAATCGCTTATATCAAACAGATTTGTAACGAAATAAACTGCAATCTCTCTGAACTGCTGAATATGATGAACAATAGAATTGCTTGGTAACAGTCATGAAAATCTGTACCATGTGACCTGATGATGATGACTGGCATACTAGGATACTTGGAGAGAGAAAAGAAGTACCCAAGCAAAAATTTAGGTAAACCACTCTTCTATGATTATCGTATTTGCTCATAACAGTAAAGAGACACCTATTGTGAAAATTGATTATGCTTATCTCACTTTTTATCTCCTTCCCTCACACACACACACACACACACACATATATAAAAGGCCAGGTGCCCTGATGATTGCATCTAGCATGTCGCCTCTAAGTGTTGACTTCAATGTTCACTTTTATATTTACATACGCTCTATCTCTGATATTGAGCACTTTATCATATGAATATAGCACACCTTAAGACTATATTTCTTCATTCATATATATATATATATATATATATATATATATGACTCTTCTGCAAAAGTCTTTTTGTGGATAGTAGTAACTTTTTTATTTTTATTTATTTATTTATTTATTTATTTTGACTCTTTCCCTATAGTCTATTTTATTCAGTTTGTCTTCTACAGATATATTCTAAGAACTTTTACACATTGTCGACATGGAAAACAACACACACTTAGTTGGACGGGGGAGTTATATATATATATATTAGTGGAAAGGGGCAATATGAATAGAGACAAAAATAAAATTTATCTTAGCCGACGTATTTGGTTCTCTGATGGACTTTATCAGGGCAAATGTAAGGATTTTATTTTGCAAAACATATTTATAAAAAGAAGTAAAAATGTCATCAGTTTTTCAGAATTTTCAAATTTAAGAACACTCATAAATATTCATGAGGCAAAGTTATGGAAGATGCTAAGTGATATAATTTAATGTCTAATAAACAAACGTGACATATATATCGTCAGCATCTTGTTTGCTTCATCTGGTGCTTCCATGATGTTTGAAAGTGACATGGCTGAGGAGGCCGAATCGTGAATGGCATGGTAGGGCAGGTGATGGCCTTGGCTGAAACTGCCGTCCCTGCATTGCCTTTTCTTTCTTTTTTTTTCTTTTTTTTTTTTTTTTTTTTTTTTTTTTTTTTTTTTTTTCTTTTTTTTTTTTTCTTTTCAGTCTTTTCCTCTACTTGAAGGTGAAACAACCAAAATGAATTATGAATTGCACTTCACCAGGATAGATGGTTGACGACTTGTTTCCCCAAGTATTAGGGCTAGGGGACACAAAGTGATACATTAATTAAAATTAGTTAATTTAAATACTAATTTGTACAAAAAAAAAACTTCCAAAACAACGGTTATTAGACATTGAATTGCATCACACTTTGTGTCTGTTATAGCTTGCCTGAGGTTTCAGCTAATTCATTGAATGTTTAGGTGTGTTCTTAACTCAAAAATTTTGAAAAAACAATAACATTTTTGCTCTTGTATATAAATACTTGCTACAAAAT